CTAAGTAACCTTTACTTTGTATTTGTAAATTTGTCTGAAAGACGAATTTAGGTCTTTCGGCCTTTTAGTAGATAGCTCCCTAATACGGTGGGAATTAGGGAGCTATTTACTAAGCGGCTGCAGCCAGGGCACAAATAGGATTGGAATTTCAATCATTCTAATGAAATTCCGATCCGAACAAAAGTCTCGAATTGTGTCCTAACACGAATGGACAAACTCATTCTGTTAGGACGAAATTCTGTAGTTTCAACGGAGTTCGTACGTCGAATGAAGCAGCAGGAGGAAGGTGAGAATTGTGGGAAAATTGCTTTGACCACAGGAAACAGAGCGGACTTTGCTCCTCTGCTGGGTTATAGCTAGTCAAGCGTAGGAAAAATACATAAGACAAAATAGTCCCTACTTTGTCTTATCTTTTAAAGAAAACTAGAGCAGATAGGAAGAAATGAAGAACAGATCCTGGGAGAGGGAGAGAGGTAAGATTGGCATGACAGTGGTGTTTTAAGCCTGTGCACACTTCTGGTGTGTCCTATTGGCGTATTGATTTTGTAGTTTCTACAAATCCAGTAGTTTTTTTCTGGTTTGCTTTTAACCCTTTCCTAATAGATATGTCAGAACTGTCATAATATCAGAGGATTTTTCTAGCTGTTTTTCTTGAAGAAATTCAATGAGGAATGCATTGCTCAAGTCAATCTGAAACCTATTGTAACAGTTGTGTTACAAGAAGAGGATGAAATTGGCTGCTGTAAACATAATAGCATAGGAAATGCCTTAGATTGTCCTGCAAAATTGAAGGCTCCTATACAAGTGATAAAATAAATTCCTAGATTGTACTATTAACATGACGTAAAGTCATGATTTTATTAATGACACGGAGGCAAGTATTATGCTTCTCTTTCTTTTAATTTCCCTCAGCAGCGAAGAGAAATGTATACAAAAGAGAAAAAAACAACATAACATTTGCATTTTCACAGTGCTACCAATCAGCATTCACCCCCTTAGTATATAAGGTGTAGCACTCCATCCTTCTTCCTCTTTCTGTAGCGACCCAAAGACCAGCCAATAACCAAACAGTAAACTTGAACCGAAACATCGGATAACAGCCGTACATCCATCTTATGGAACCACGGTAGAACTGTCCCTCAAACTTCAGCACCTCAATAGAAGTATTCAGGCTAAAAAAGAGGAGAAATATGGTAGTATTTCGGTTGTCATCTGGTTGTAACATATACCTCAATATATACGGCTACATAGGCCTAGAGAAAAAAATCCATCGTCATAAACCATAAGACATTATACACATCAACAAAAAATGACATATAACCTGATAAGTTAATATCCATGTCCAACCATATGAGAAAACAGGGCCAAACATGTAAGGGATAAGTAGAGAGAACAAAACCCAAAATATGACTGTCAAGATGTGAATTCCAACAACCCTACCCAGGGAGGGCGGGAGAGAATAATACTCGCCTCCATGTCATTAATAAAATCATGACTTTACGTCATGTTAATAGTAAAATCTAGGAATTCTATTAAAGACACGGAGGCTCCTATTATGCTCTTTTAAAGCTGAGCTATATCCCGTTCCGAGAAGTGTTGAATAGGCTTAAAGTAAAAGTTTCGGAAAGTGGATTCCATAGACCAGTCCGCAGCCTTCAGAATGTCTTCCAATCGACATCCTACCACCGGTGCCTTAGAGGCCATCGGGCCCCTGACGGAGTGGTATGAGAAAACCGTGACATCTATCCCGGCCGAAGCCAATAACCACTTGACCCAACGAGCGAGCGTAGGTATAGCCACAGGGAGATGAGGCTTCTTCAACGAGATGAACAAAGGTCCATCAGTTGATGAGCGTAAAGTTGCAGTGCGAGATTCATATTCCAGTTGGGAGGCTCGGGTAAAATATTTGTTTGGTCGCCGATTTCGTTCTCCATGAGATATCGAATGACACTCCTTCTGGAGTTAACACACAAGCCTGCCAATCCAAAGCTCTGACGTCAGATGCCCATTTGCAGGAGAGCAAACAAAAAAGCATAAGCAATTTTGCCGACAACTGTTTCAACGATAAGTCTGCGTTTATGGGCCACTCGTCTAGGAGACTGAACACCACATTAACATCCAAGAATGAACCATATCTGGGTTTAGGTGGGCGTGAGAAACGAACACCCTTGAGCAGGCGACAGACCATGGGATTTTGACTGAGTGGATGCCCATCCACGTTATCATGACCCGCCGAGATGGCAGATCGGTACTGGTTGACGGTGCGGAACGCTTTGCCTGATTCGAACAGATGTGTCAAGAAGTCCAACATCATTTTCACAGGGGCTGATACAGGATACACCGATCATCCAAGCACCAATTGGACCACCTTCTCCATGCCGCAATATAGGAATGCCGTGTTCCTGGTGCCCAAGCGTTTGCCAGGAGCTGGGTAGTCGTTCTCGAAAAAACCTCTGCGATTTCCCAGTGTCCCTGGAAAGGAGCCACGCCATGAGACGGAGAAGCCCTTGTTCTATCAGATTGTGACTCTCCCCATCTGGATTGGTTAGAAGAAGTGGGTGATCCGGTAACAACCGTGGGCAATCAATCGCCATTTCCAATAGGTGGGGGAACCAAGGTTGAGACCTCCAACATGGGGTTATTAGGACTATTGTGCTCTTGTAGCATTGGAGGTACGCCAGAGTTCAAGCAATCAGGTTGAATGGAGGGAAGGCACACGCCCGCCCCTTGGTCCAATCCTGGAGGAACGCATCCGTTGCCATGGCTTCTGGGTCTGGTCGACAGCTAAAAAACAGAGGAAGTTGCGTGTTCAGTCTGGATGCAAAGAGATCCACACTCAAAGGCCCCCATAATTGGGTGATCTTGTAGAACACACTCGGTTGAAGTCTCCAATCTCCCAAGTCCCTCAGGTAACGAGAGTTCCAATCCGCAGTGTAATTGTCCAGACCTGGTATGTGTTCTGTGGTTACCGACACATTGTTCTGCAAGCAATAATTCCAAAAGTCTCGAGCCAAGACCG